GCACACAAGAGACTAGGGCATACGAAACTCATAGACTTGGTAGTATGGAGAGAGGAGCGAGAGATAGGATGGGGACAATTGATAGTTTCCTATCGGTACATAAGTGTGTTCTAGACAAGGTCCATGAGAGTTACTCGGGATCTACAGCCTCGAGTTGGTCTCCCATCCAGTTTGCCAATCCAGACTTTGGGGACCTGTTCAGCGAGGCGGTAGATTACGTGCAATTAAGGGCTTGAAGCAGAGTGTGAGAGATAGCGCCTCGAGCAGCACAGATCGGGTGGCAGAGATCGAATGAAATTGCTGAACCCGGGCGATCGGAGACGGACCGAAAGCAAGCCAGCAATGGTTACAAATGATATTCTCCACGGTTCTCGATAGAAGAAGCACTGCTTGAGCTGAGTGGAAAAGCCCAAATGAAAGCAGTAAAGCATGAAACCTCTGTTTGGATATGGGAATTCAACGCGCTGATCTCTTGTATCCGGACCACCGAGTGACCCGTCGTCCGGACGGTTGACCTCAAGTCGGCCTAGCGACGAAAGGCCGCTTATTGGCAGAACAACTGGGAGAACTGCGACGTTGACCCCGAACGACCAACAGTTCAGGGAGCCCGGACTGGCTGCTGGTCCCGGCAACTTGTTCTGTGTTGGGCAGAGTGACCTGGGCCTGACGACCGTGTCAACACGGGCAGAAGAGACAAGCAGTTGGCCGAGGAGGAGTGAGAAGGAGAAAGACAGCGATGCAGGAAAAGAGATAATAGGCCAGACTGTGCGAGGAGGAAGCCTGCAAGAAGCGAAACAATACAGATTCAGATCAGGTCGTTGTGATAAACCGACTTGCCACGTACAGACAAGCGGACAAAGAGGCATTTCCTCTCGGCCGTCGAATGGATTACGCCACAGTCGGCCATCCTGTGCACATTGCCACGCGACTAGTCCAAGAATCGTCAGGTCGGAGGTCAACCACTTTCAAGGATTCGCATGTTTAGTCTCTCAGTCCGTCTATTTCGACTGTCAAAATTGTCAAGTCCGACAAGCCCACATTAAAGCGCCCACGCTGATCAGTTTCGCTGTGAGTAGTGCCCGAGACCATCAGCAACTGTCGGCCGAGGAGATGAATGAGTAAACCAGAGCCATGCTAAGTGATGTAAAGAGTGTTAGTTGAATTTTCCAAAAATGAAATTAATAGGCCCCAGGATGCCATTGAATTTATGTGAGATATGTTCGCCCTATTTCGGTTGAGGTGATGAACGACTGGTAGTTGAATTCTTACATAATCATATGAGCAGACCTTATGCTTAGAAAGAATTCCACGTGGGTTTCGACATCGCCTGTGCTGGTCGCCTCAACACCCACAACGGTATCATGGGGCTGATGTGCATTTCGAGGAGGGCCAAGCAATTCAACATATCACATTGTGTGGTGGAATGTAATATTTGCTATAGAAATGGATTAAGCTACTTATTTTCCTTTTGTAAGTAGTGTTTATGTTCTTCCTTAAAATTAGCCTTTGCCCTGTGACCCGAGCGCACTCGTGACAACGTAGCGTAGTGGTTAACGTGTCGGGATTCTACGCTTCATAGTCATGCTTCGAGTCCCGCTAGGGGTGCTGAGAAGCTAGTTCAGAAGAGGTCGAAACTGCAATCCAGTTCAGTCTGGAAGAGAATACCTTTTGGGAAGCAGGGCTTTGAGGAATTCAATTAAAGCATAAGGCATACTCATATGATTATGTAAAAATTCAACTACCAATCTTTCATCACTTTTAAGCAAAAAAGGGTAAACACATTTCATATGTATAATGTACTGTTCGTCTCGAAAATCTACTTAAAAACAAAAACTGCCGTTGCAATTCACTTAATCCCACTTCCTAAAAGTCACATCAACCTACCTGAACTGTGGACTCGACCTCACCTCTCCGGCTCATCTGCACACCAATTGGGTTCGAGTTTGCGTCCATGCATCGTGATGACACCAGTTACAGTTAACCGAGGATCATAAATAGAGCATGGATGTCTTTCAAGCTAAATTAGGCCTCTTCAAAATAACTCTCATGATGCGAGTTTCGATTAGGAAAACCTATATTTGCAAGTACAGTTGACCAATCCCAAATCTTGAATAGAGATTAGAGGCCTACCCATTTCATGTTGGCAAAAGTTAAACAGCATTCCAGTCACCTTAAGCGACACAAGGTTCGTATTCATGATTTACTGATATTCTCAAAATAAACTACTCACTGTGAAAATAAGTAGCATCGTGGATTATAATGGAAAATTCATGTTTGCCTTCTCATCAACACTCCCAGTATGAACATGAAGAAGGAAACGTCTGGCTTGCCTCGAAAATCACATCTGTCCAATTAGCTATCGGCGCCCCCTCTCGGCTCTTTGACGAAGGACACGAGTGCGATTGAGTATGTTGATGGGACTTAGACGAGTTCGAAATTGATAGACGGCCCAAATGAGAAATCCTTTCCGAAGATAAAGCCGAGTGAGTTTCAATGGCCCACTCTTTTCAATGGGGAAAATTCACATTTCAATGACTTTTAAGGTCACTATGAGTCTCTGTATCGCCCTCTTTTATGCGCAGGCCAACATGTGCA